ACTTGCATCAGTCATATTGCCTCCTGACTGGCAATCATGAAAATTAAACAAAATTGGAGAAGTCAAAGGTCAGATCAATTCAGGTCAGTTGAAAATTATTGCATGTAAGTTAAGATTTCAAATAAAATACATTAAACTGGTTCCTATGAAAACCTATCATACCTGCCAGGTGACGGGGATATTCATACAAATGTACCACATGGTTTGCAGTGCATCTTTCTGATATTTCAGTACTCTCACTCAAGTTTGCAGTGTTGTATTCCCGCCTTATATTTATTTATTTTTTTATTAGACGCATAAAATCCTTAGGAAAGGATAAAAAGGGTCTTACAGAAAGAAATTAAAAAACTACAATCTAAAAAGGAAAACAAAAAATAAAAACTTTTCAAGAAAGATAAAACAAATCAAAAACAATAAAGACAATTTGCAGCCAATGGTGAATACAGAATATAGAATGAACACAAAATGTAGCTTAATATATGTGATATATATATGTGATATATAGATATATGTGTTGCCATGGCAATTAAATTTTGCTGAATTTATTTTATGGAAGTCACTGTGTTAAAAAGAACCTGAACCCAAGTGACATTTTCTACAAAATTGTTACAAAAATTCATCTCAGTTTTGTGATAAAATTTGTCTTCTATGAAAATTAAAGCAATTAACAATATCTTTATTTGGGTATCATTGCAAAAATGATGTGAATGTTCAACCAAATCCGAATGTAATTCACCAGTCTGGTGAATGGTTAGTGGAATATGGTCATTAACCCAGTAAAGCAAGATTATATTTTAAACACTTTTCGCACTTCTGGTGATACACTCTTAGAAACTATTTTTTCTGGAAACTCCATCTTTTAAATGAGAAGCTGTGGTTAAAATACTGTACAAGTATAATAAGAATGTTTTTTTTAAAACTTTTTGTATTTTATGTTTTTTTTTTAACTTCTGTCAGATTACAAATGAAAGATTAGGTTTTAAAAAGAAAGCAAGGAGTAAAGTTGGTTCCTATGACAACATAGATTATACCCCGGGAGGTGGGGTTGTGCAGGTACCAACAATATTGTCAAACTTACGACTTTGCAGTGTGCTTTACTCTTGTAACTTGTTATTGAGCCCTCTATTGTTATCTACTGTTGATTACTTTGTTTCCACTTGGATTTTATTTTCACTACCCAATGAAAATAAAATCTTGTGAAAATACACTTTCCCTAGTTTTTTGCATGTAACTATTATCAGGCACTCAATATAAATTGTTTGCAGTTTGCTAAAATAATGTTTTTCTGAGTAAATATATTGTAATTAAAATAATTTGCAATAATTTATTTTATATACAAGAGAAAACAATTGGATATGTTTTACATAATGCATTGTTTAGCTTTTCAGGATGACAGTTGGAAGAAGAAGACTTGCTATGGGAACAAAGTGTCGGTTGTGGTTGTTGACTTCATTGTTAACTTTTCTTGTGGTGAAAACTTTGTACATGTATTTCAATTGAAATTATTTTACAGCAGGTTTGTTTCAAGTGTTGGTGCCTTTTTCTGCTTTTAAATTCACAGATATCCTGGGTAGAAAGAAGGGCAAAGTGTAAATTAACATGGATGAATTTGATTTCCTTGCAGGCTTTAACAAAATGCTTTAATATTTAACCAATTCTTTATTTGCAATTTTGTGCACACTCTCAAAATTTTCTGTTTCTTTTTCTGTTTTTCTTTTCTGATCCTTTCTAGATTATAAATAAAAAATTAGATTTCCACAGTACGTCGAGTAGAATAGGTTCTCTGGACAATGCGGGTTACAAACCAAAAGGCGGTGAAGTAAAGGTAGTACACAATACAGTATAATTAAATTTAATTTATATAGTTTCATAAAAGTTCTTGCAAGTTGTCAAAACTTTTTGAATAGATTGCTTATTGCCACACAAGGTCATACACAATAAAAAAATATCGATCACAAATTTTTAATATAAACTTGTTATAGTTTTATCAGAGTTAATACATGGAGAAAAAGTAAAACCATGTCAATTCATTTATGAAAAGTTAAGCCATTATTTTGAGACTCACGATAATAACAAAGTGTATAGAACTATGTTTTATGAAATAAGAATGGGGTCATTGACCTATTTGTAAATAAAGTCAGTTACAATAATTTGCCTTATGATTTTAACCAGCTTGTATATAATAATGTCATTTTTTTTTCATTTTTGCTAAAAAATTAAGATAACAGATTTGCATATCATGGTTATTGATCATTATGATGACATCATAGATAAATCATATGCTGCATCTTCCCTATAATGTAATATCATTACTGTATTTGTTCTATTAGTAGCACATAGGCTTTACATGTAAATGACAGAGTTGTGTCGAAATTAGCCGTATTTTAATGAACGAGCATACAATAAATGCAATTTTTGGTTTATGTGCGATTCTAATGGAGATGCGCTTCTAATGAAGCAAATACGGTACCAACATTTAAAGTAATATCGGTGTGCAATGTACATTCAAATTATGTATCACAGTGTATTTTCCAAGGGACTCATAATAAACATGACACGATGCAACAACAGTGGCACTTCAAACTAAAAAAAAACTCTCATTGTTAACATTTTCATTTTCATACCATAGGTAAAACCAAGATTAACCCCTACAAATTTAATAATTTTTTTTTTCTTCATAATAATGTTTTTTTTCTGTAATTTCTGATTGAACTTCTGTAGATTGAACGGCATAAAATACAGTTTCGGGAGAGTGCACAATCAAAAGTCGGCTCCAAGGCAAATATCACGCACACTCCTGGGGGAGGCACAAAAAAGATAGAAACTCGTAAATTAGATTTTAAAGAGAAAGCTCAAAGTAAAGTTGGGTCCAAGGATTATATTGACCATGTGCCTGGTGGTGGAACGGTGCAGGTAAGTTGGGAGAAGTGAAAATTTTGTATTTTTGAATTGACGTTCTTTAATGCCATAATTGTCATTTTTCCTGTATGTGAGCTGTGTCTGCATTAGTGTATTTCATGTTGAGAATATATGCATTATATTTAGTATTTATAGCACACCAGTTACATACATTTTTGTGTGTAAAAACGCTTTCTTGATGTGTCAACACTGAATATAATATATGACTATTATTCTAGAATAATGGTCGTTTTATCTCCAATGCATTAACCCTTTGAGCATCAAACTATTTTGTTTTCCATATTTTTTTCTAAATTTCTATGCGAACCTGGAAAATTATATGTATTTGGTTTGGAATTACTGGTATAAATACTTGTTTAACATAATACCTACAGCAGAGGCGACGGCATGAAATTTTGCATGGAGGGGGCTCACCATCCCTCACGGCAAAGACGCGACCTCACTAGGGGGGTCCGGGGGCATGCTCCCCCTTAAAAATTTTGAAATATAGTCCCCATGAAACACTATTACCTGCATTTTGAGGGGCAAATTTTGCTGTCACAAAGGGTTTCAGCACATTTTTTTCGAGGGGGGCGACCACCCCGTCAGCCCCCTAAGTGCCGCCGCTACTGTACAGGGAAAGTTTTGCATCAAAATTTGTCTGGGCAAAATGATGGTTTTTAAATGAAGGAGAGGCCTAGTGTAGTTATGATATTTGAAGGGGCCTAATGTAGTTATGATGTTTGAGGGGCCTAATGTAGTTATGATGTTTGAGGGGCCAAATGTAGTTATGATGTTTATCCAAGTATATGTCTATGTGTTGTGAATAATGATTTCATTTATATCTTTAAATGCACCTCAATAAATCTAAAAGTATTATCTCTATTTTATACTTATACTTCTACAAAGTCTGCACACTATTGCACTTCTGCTAATGGTAACTCTTCTATTGTGGTGATTGTTTTCTTTGGCAGATTGAGAAACATAAACTAGAGTTTAAGGAGAAAGCACAGAGCAAAGTTGGCTCAAAGGATTACATTGACCACACTCCGGGTGGTGGCAAGGTGAAGGTAGGATCACAAATAACTCCTCTTTTTTATTGTGATCCGAGCATCTCACCCTCCATTTATTCTCTAAGACAGACCTATGTCACAATAGTCCACGAACATCACCAGCAACTGCAAACAAGATCGCACAATGCTTATATCAACTTCTATCTCCCTTGCCTAGCTAATACACTTCAATTTCATAATATTTCTTGCATTTACATTTTTGTGTATTTCTATATAATTTCTTTTTTAAATTTGAACCAAATGCACACAATTTCTTATTGGTTAAAGGTCTCGATAACAATTTTGGAAAAAGTATGAAAAAAATTCCTCATTTTCATGAATTGTGACAGAAGTTGACTTTGGCATACGAAGGGCTAAGTTGAAAATAATTTTTTTTCTTCTAATTCTGTTATTGTCTGTCTTAGAGAATACTCATATTCTCATACAGTTATGTTTCTATGGATACTAATCGGTTTCTTACATTACCCAATACATTACAATACATTACAAGTGATAGTATCTGCTGTCTTGACCATATTTAGAAATAAAATGTTAGTAATAAAAGTACAATATATATAATACTAATTTAAAGTAAAATGTCATATCTGATCGAATGACAAAGATAATCGCCGTGCATATGTAAGTCACCATACAATGTCTTTATATGAAATTTGAATGAAATCACTCAAAGTATGACCAAGAAATGGCTCTGGACAGACACACAGACTGGCAGAGCCCAAATTAATAGTCCTTGTTTTGGGACTTTGTTCGAACAGGGACTAAAAATATGGTTAACCCTGTATGTTGAGCAATCCAGGATACCTGGTGCTTTGTTTTTAAATACATGATTATTATATTACCTTGAAGAAATAAAGAAATTAATCTAAACTTCTAACATCAGATGTTTTTTATTACAACTAAAAATAATTGAAGTCCCAATTAAGAAACTATCATCACATACTAGGTTTATTGTTACACTTCAATAACTTGGTTGTCATGGTGATTTCTTTGGCAGATTGAGAAACATAAACTAGAGTTTAAGGAGAAAGCACAGAGCAAAGTTGGCTCAAAGGATTACATTGACCACACTCCGGGTGGTGGCAAGGTGAAGGTAGGGTCACAAAGGAATCATCTGTTCATCGAATGCTTTCTAAAATCTTTTTACATTTTTTTTGTTAAATTTTATCATTTTTTTTTAATGTCTCTCTTTCTCAAATTTTTGGAGATTCAGATTTTCTTCTTAGAAACACATTATTCAATCTCTGCAAACCCAGTATAGTATTCCCAATTCTTCAGCCACTACAAAAATGAGCCTTTCTCATGGCAATTTTTGGTGCAAGATTTTGCAATTTTTTTTAGATTTTATCCTTAATTATGAACCAGGAGGATAGAAATACCTATCGACTACATGTCATGATCAGTTTTGAGATGCAAATATTCGAAAATTTCACAAGTCATGAAACTTTCAAAATTGTTGGAAACTTTAATGAGTTATTGAAGCAGACAAGCAGTTGTGGTATAGTCTCAGAGAATCAAAATATAGACATGTTTACATTTGGTGAAAGAAAGGTTCTATTACATCTCAGTACATGTATGTTACATTTAAGTCACCTACGGTAATCAAGTTTTTGGTTTATTAAAAACCAGAATAACTAGTTCCTAACGAGTTCATGAAATTAAATCTTCTTCAGTGGTGATCTAAATTTGCTTCTGCATGCTGGAAAATCAAACCCAACAGTACAGTCTAATGGTCAGTCCACCATTTCCGAAAAATGGTTAAATACAGATATATTTAAAAAAAAAGTACCTATGCTAAGTTTTAAATAAAAAAAATAGGCCAATGGCCTGTTGCTTAACGGCTATTGTACAAAAGATTAGTGCTGTATATGACAAATACCCCAAAAGACAGTGAGTGAGACAATAAAACATAATGCTAAAAGTGGAATTTTTTACAAAAATAACAGAAATATTCAACAAGAGTTGGCAGAGCCATCTCGATGCTGGGAAAATAAGAGTTTTAAAGGTGTGTTTTGAAGCAATGGATTGGCGAACAGACAAAAAAGCAATTTCAAAGACTTTGACTTTGTTTTAATGAAAACTTGAAGTATACATGAGGGTATGTATTATTTATTTACTTTGGAAACTCAATTTTTAATTGAAGGAATTAAACAAAATTAAATCATCATGTTAGAAATGACTACTGTTCAACTCCGGACTAGTCGTTTAATTAAAGCGTATGTTGCTATGACAATCAACCAATTCGAAAAAAAAACAGTCGACAATGACTAAATGCATGGTCACAGCCAAATTGCTGTTTAATTGAAATAAAAAAAATCAAAGAAAACAGAGAACTAAGACAGAAAGGGAAACACGAGCGAAATAGTCGAACAGGCAACACAAAGCCTAAACTATCAGAAATTCGTAACACATAATTCGAGTGATGGTATAACAAAATAACTCATCATTTGTAAATTCAATTCATCGAAAAAGTATAAAGAACATTTTTATAAACAATTTTTATTATATAAATACACTTTGAAAAGAAACAAGATTTATAAACATAAATCTATTTAAATACATTCTCACTACAAATTACACAATACTTATTTTCTAATGGAGTTTCTTCACAGCACAAACTATTGGAATCATGCATGCGTGTGAGTACTTCGGTGACACATTTTATAGCTACGCCCAAAATAGTCCATCATTTATTACGTAACTGTGACCACATGACATCATTCTATCAACATCCACACATTTTCATAAAATCTCCATGCACTTTTTGACCATTCATAAGTAAAATACACTACAATTTATTCCAGAAAAACAGTTTTCTTGGTACATTCCTACATTCTTGCATACTAATGAGGGATTCAGACACATTCCAAGCTGAACAATTTTCTTGGACTAACAACAAAGCCGGTCAATCCTTTCCCAGCAATAAAATTGGAATCAAAGAGAGCTTAAAAAGAACTCCAGCATGTTGAGAAAATAACATAACATGATATTTGCAATTATCTGAATTCGTAATACATGTATATACCAAGTTTTGTTGAAATATGTTGAATGGTTCTTGAAATAGCACCCAAATAACTTGAATTTCACTAGCTGATATGCAAATTAGATAATTTGCATAAATTTCCACCAAAAACTAAATATATCTGGAAACTGCCCCAACACATCTATGCACCAAGTTTTATTAAAACATATTAAATGGTTCTCAAGATATCACCAAAATAGCCTAAATATTGGTATGTAAATTAGGCAATTTGCATATTTTCCCACCAAAATCAATCATGTCTATACACATTTAAATATGTTGAGTGGTTATGTTTTCATTACAATCACAATAGACAATCAACAAAGTTGTCAATGGAATAATAAACACATGTATGCCTAACACCAAAGCATTGGAAATAGTGGTTAGTTGAAATTCCATTTTTAACCAAGAATGACAAAAATATTCGCTAAAAATAGAAAATTACAGATATGGCCATGGGATGAACAAATCTAGTAGATGTCAAACATACACACCAAGTATCAAAGCATTCAGGCTACCGGTTTTGAAGAAGAAGTCGAAAATAGAATTTTTGACCAAAAATTACCATTTTAAAATATTCGCCAAAATTAGGAAATTAAAAATGTCCTTACCATATTAACAAAACTGATAGAGAACAACCCAAGCCACATGTACTATCAATATCAGCACTGTAGACCACTTAGTGTCATAGTAGCATAGAAGAAATTTTAGAGTTTTGGGGGCTAATTTGCATAATTTTTGACAGATCGACTTCTCATGAACAAATTACCATCTACACTCATCAAGGCATTCACACATCAAAAATCGAGTCAAACGGTTCGGCAGTTTTTGAGAAGAAGTCGTGCACAGACAGACAGACAGATAGACGGACGACAGACGACAGACGCAGGACTGGTCACCTGTCAGCTATCTTAAAATCTACATAATATTATTTATGTAATAATAATTGTATTAACTTGAACAAACTAAGAAAATATTGTAAACTTCTAATACTGGATTGACGCTCCAATTACAAAATTATCATTACAATATTACAGTTCAATAACTGGGTTGTCATGGTGATTTTTTTGGCAGATTAAGCAACATAAACTAGAGTTTAAGGAGAAAGCACAGAGCAAAGTTGGCTCAAAGGATTACATTGACCACACTCCGGGTGGTGGCAAGGTGAAGGTAGGGTCACAAAGGAATCAACTATTCATCGGAATGCATTCTAAAAAATTTTTAAAGTTTATTTTTTATTAAATTTTATTAATTTTTTTTATTAATTTTTGCCTCTTTTTCTCAAATTGTTTATCATAAATTACATCATGGAGATTCAGATTTCCTTGCTTAGAAACACATTATTCAAGCTCTGCAAACTCATCAGTAGCCACTACAAATATTAGCCTTTTTTTTCCCTAAAAATTGTGGTTCAATGTTTTGCACATTTTTTAGTTAATTTTGAACCAGAATCATATAATTTCCTATTGACTACAGGCTTTGATAAATAATATTTGAAAAAATATCAAAGGGTCAATCTTTTGTGTGGTATTGGAAAATTTTGCATGTCTAGTTGTTTAAGCAGACATCTCATAGAAAGCTTCTATCATATTCCTGTACATGTATGTTACATTCAAGTCAATGTCATGCAGCACATGTTTAAACTTCATGTAAACAAACAAACTAGTTGTGCTTGTCACTATAAGTCACATATTGAACAGGATGCAATGCCATGACCGCCAACCTTTAAAATTCAAGCTAAAGAGCTCATGAAATCAAATCTTCTTCAACAATGAGCTAAAATGTTTTCTGTGCAAAAAACCAAACCCAACAGTATATTCATCTGTTGAGTGTTCTTCTATCTCTTCTCAAATTGTCCAACTTAATACATTAACACATGCATAATAATTAATATTTCATTTATATTTACTAGATCATCAGTGTGTTCACTAGATCATAAGTGTGTTTACTAGATCATAAGTGTGTTTACTAGATCATAAGTGTGTTTACTAGATCATCAGTGTGTTTACTAGATCATCAGTGTGTTTACTAGGTCATCGGCATGTTTACTACATCATAAATGGTTTTACTAGGTCATCTGCGTGTTTACTAGGTCATCTGCGTGTTTACTAAGTCATCGGAGTGTTTACTAAGTCATCAGTATGTTTACTATATCATCGGTGTGTATACTAGATCATCATGGTGTTTACTAGGTCATCGGTGTATTTACTAGGTCATCAGTGTGTTTACTAGGTCATCAGTTGGTTTGCTAGATCATCGGTATGTTTACTAGATCATAAGTGTGTTTACTAGGTCATTGGTGTGTTTACTAAATCATTGGTGTGTTTACTATGTCATTGGTGTGTTTACTATGTCATCAGTGTTTACTAGATCATCGGTGTGTTTACTATGTCATCGATATGTTTACTAGGTCATCAGTGTGTTTACTAGATCATCGATATGTTTACTATGTCATCAGTGTGTTTACTAGGTCATCAGTATGTTTACTAGATCATCTGTGTGTTTACAATGTCATCGATATGCTTACTAGGTCATCAGTGTCATCTAGTAGATCATCGGTGTGTTTACTATGCCATCAGTGTGTTTACTATGTCATTGGTGTGTTTACTAAATCATTGGTGTGTTTACTATGTCATTGGTGTGTTTACTATGTCATCAGTGTTTACTAGATCATCAGTGTGTTTACTATGTCATCGATATGTTTACTAGGTCATCAGTGTGTTTACTAGATCATCGATATGTTTACTATGTCATCAGTGTGTTTACTATATCATCAGTGTGTTTACAATGTCATCGATATGTTTACTAGGTCATCAGTGTGTTTACTAGGTCGTCAGTATGTTTACTAGGTTATCGGTGTGTTTACTAGGTCATCAGTATGTTTACTATGTCATCAGTGTGTTTACTAGGTCATCAATATGTTTACTAGGTCAACAGTGTGTTCACTAGGTCATCGGTGTGTTTACTAGGTCATCAGTGTGTTTACTAGATCATCGGTGTGTTTACTAGATCATCGGTGTGTTTACTAGATCATCGGTGTTTACTAGGTCATCGGTGTGTTTACTAGATCATCGGTGTGTTTACTAGGTCATCAATGGTTTTACTAGGTCATCGGTGTGTTTACTAGGTCATCAGTATGTTTACTAGGTCATCAGTATGTTTACTCGATCATCGGTGTGTTGTATATTTTACATGTACTGTTGCATAGAACCCATATCAAACCCATCACTGTTCAATTTAATGCTTAAACCATACAGTCATTTCAATGTTTGTTATTTATTTCCTCCATGACAACAAGAAGAATTGTTCCAGTCACTATGTCATATACATACATTAACATCCTCCCAGCCAATCATATCCAATCAGATATTCTCCTAAATCTGGTGTAATCTGCTGGTCACATGACTCTTAAGCAATTTTTGTTGTCTTTTTAGATTGAAGAGCATAAAGTTGACTTTAAAGAGAAAGCTCAGAGTAAAGTGGGATCTAAAGACTACATGGATCACGTACCTGGGGGTGGAAATATACAGGTATATTTATCTCTTTATTTCGGTTGTTTTGTGGAGTCATTAATCTGGTATTTGATGAACACTTCGTTCTTTTCATGTTATTATCATATTGCCCAAATATCTGACTACTGGCAATCTGAGTTTTTGTCATTTTTTCTTTACATTATGGTAAATACTGTATTTGCTCTATTAGAAACACATCTCCAATAGAAGTACAAATACTGTATTTGCTCTATTAGAAACACAACTCCAATAGAAGTACAAATACTGTATTTGCTCTATTAGAAACACAACTCCAATAGAAGTACAAATACTGTATTTGCTCTATTAGAAACACAACTCCAATAGAAGTACAAATACTGTATTTGCTCTATTAGAAACACAACTCCAATAGAAGTACAAATACTGTATTTGCTCTATTAGAAACACAACTCCAATAGAAGTACAAATACTGTATTTGCTCTATTAGAAACACAACTCCAATAGAAGTACAAATACTGTATTTGCTCTATTAGAAACACAACTCCAATAGAAGTACAAATACTGTATTTGCTCTATTAGAAACACAACTCCAATAGAAGTACAAATAAACCCAAAATTACATTTATTACATACTAGATCATTAAAATATGACATATTTTGACAATAGTCATTCCTCTGTCATTTTAATATGTAAACACATGTGACACAAATTGGCCTGAAATTGACCCAAAATTAAAGCATGATTTATATTAAAAGACAATTTTTACAATAACAATACAAAAAACCACATGTCTGCATTCATTTTGGAAAATAAATGGATCAGAATTATTTGTCTGTGCCCTTATTTGAAGGCATTAAACAACTATGCAAGAAAGCTTTTTTTAGTACATTGATTAAAATTAAAAAAAAAATTGTGAACTCAACATTAAGGGAACCATTTATACAAAGGTTCCTTATTTTGAGTAACGTGCACCACATATCGCAAGAAAATAGCAGATTTGAGAAATGTTCTTCTTCTTTAATAATATGTATTTAAATTTAACTGATTGAAATTTGATTTGCCAATCTGTGTGTTCACTTTTACATTGTATCTGTGTAAACTTCCATGTATTTGTATTATGGAGTTTTAATGTACGGACAATTCCTTTATATCCACCAGCATAAGGAGTGTTAATTTATCAATCGGGTTCAAACCTTATTCTGAATCTCGCTGTGGTAGATCATCTTTTCCACTTTTTGCTCTGTTTCGAGATCATAATTTGCAATTTTTTTGTGAATTAAAACAAAGTGGTACAAATTTTGTAGATCTATTCCAAAATATATTACTCTAAGCGAGCGAGTCACATTGGATCTTTGGATAATGTAAGAACTAGTAGTGTAAAGGTAAGGGGTGTCGACCTGATTTTCCTAGAAATGTATACAGTATTTACTCTATTAGAAGCACATCAATTTATGTATATGACAGAGATTAATCTATGGTCAAAGTACAGCATATTTTAATAATCCAGTATACGATGAATATAATTTTTGTGCGCTGCTAATAGAGAAAATATGGTGTATATATAATCTTTATCCTGAAGTGGTTTTGGTAAAGGGTATTTATCTGATTTTGAGTGTTTTAGGGGTTTAACAATTCTAATCTTTTTTTTAATGTTGTATATGCGACAGTGTGTGGGTATACGTAAAACATCTGGAATGTCTTGGTTGTGTTTTCTATTAGGAAAATGTTATAATTGTTATTCTTACTTCTTTGTGCTGTGTTCTAGATTTCTTTTCAATCTTGGTGTTTTGTAATAATTTATTCTTTGTCATAACTTAATTGCAATGTATAGACTAACCGTTTATATTTTGTTTTCTTCATTCTTGTAATTGTGTTTTCATTGTGTGACAATAACAATAAAAAAAAACCTTTCTTTCAACTAAATTTTCTAAAATCTCCCACCCAATTTTCGCCTCTGTAATTGCAATTAACAGTTCAATTAACATACTTCAAAATTGTAACTTGTATTTTATTGGTGAAACTTATTTTGTGATTTCCACAAAAATTAAATATTTCATTATAGCTCACTATTCTTAAAACCTCCAAAGTAAGCCCCACTAGACCACCTTTTATTAAAAAATATTTCTGATAAAAATCATACATGTACAATCAATAGTTTTTAGCAGTTTCAACCTTTTTACCACCAGTTCCCTCTTTTCATCACAAATTCACAAAATAGTTCCGTTTATAGTCTGCACTTTCTTTCAAAAGATTGGGACATAATAGTCAAATTTTTTGAGTAAAACTGAAAATTTTGTCTGTTGGCTCCAAAATTAGGGTTCATTTCCAGAAATATTAAAAAAATATAAGAAAAAAGGGCAGAATAATTTTGGCAAGAAAGTCTGGTGATGAATAGCTTAATACATGTCACAGTTCAAGTACAATTTAAAGTACATCCAATTTAAACATTTTTATTTTTTCATAGATAACTGACGAGAAACTTGATTTTAAAGATAAGGCGGCAGCTAAAGTCGGCTCCTTGGAAAA